TTGTTATTATTATCATTATTATCATTCTTATAGTTATCATAATAATCTTTATTATTGCTATTACTATTATTATTGTTATTATCTTTATTATCATCATCATTGCTATTCTATCAGTTTAAAACCTTATTAATTATTGTTGTTGTTATCCTTCCTATTGTTGTTGTTATCATCATTATTATCAAAATAATTGTCATTGTTATTTTTGTTATTATAATCATTGTTATTATTATCATTATTATTATTATTATTTTCACTATTGTTATTATCATTATTATTATCATTGTCATTATTGATATTACTGTTTTTATTAACATCATTATCATTACTATAATTTTCTCTATTATTGTTGTTATTATCATTGTTATTATCATTGTTTTATCATTATTATTATTTTTATTATTATCATTGTTATTATCATTGTTTTATCATTATTATTATCGTTATTATTATTATCATCATTATCATCGTTATCATTATGATTATTATTTTCGTCAGTTTTATTAGTATTGTTATTATTAATTATTTATTATTATTATTATTATTATCATTATTATTATTAATATTATTATAATTATCACTATAATAATGATGATAATAATTATCATTAGTATTATCATTATCATCATTATTACCATCATTATCATCATCATTATTATATAATTATTACTATCATCGTTCTTATTACTATAATCATTATTATGATTATCATTATCATTGTAGTTGTTGTTATCATTACTAACATTATCAATGTTTCTATCATCATAATTATTATGACTATCATTATAGTTGTTAATACTGTTATCATTATCATTATTATTATCATTATCATTGTTATTGTTGTCATTATTGTTATCATTATTATTATTATTATTATTTATATTATCATTATTATCTTCATCATCATCATCATTTTATTGTCATTATTATCATTTTCATTAATACTATTATTATTGGTATTTTTTATTATCATTATTGTTATCATTATATCATTATTGTTATTATTATTATCATCATTATCATTATTATCGATATTGTTGTCATTATTATCACTATCATTATCATCATCATTGTTATCATTATCATTATCATCATCATCATTATTATTAATACTGCTATTATGTTAATGTTATCATTATCATTACCTCCGCCGAACATGTAATAATTATGTTTTGGTAGCGTTGCTTGTTTATTTGTTTGTTTGGTCGTTGGTTCGCAGGATAAGAGGCGTGCTGGTGATCAGAAACATGATCCGGATCCAAGAATTTTTAAAATGATTACCTTATATTACCTTATAATTATTTAATCAATTATATTAGTTACCCCTACCGTCGAGTAACAGGGGTAACTATCATAATTATCAATACTTTTATTACCTCTGCCATGGAGATTATGTTTACGGATGTCAACAGTGTACTTGAGAAAAGTGATTTTAATGTATTTTTTCAAGTGTGAATATTTTATTGCATCAGTGACCATATTGCCTTGGCGGAGGTATGCTCACTCTGAGTGCTTCTAGCTATCATTACTATTATCATTACTATTAGCATTGTTATTCTGATTAGCAATATTATTATTACTATTTTTGTCATTACCATTGTTGTTATTATTTTCATTATTACTGTTATTATTATTATTACTCTTATCCTCAATATTATTACTATCATTTCTCATTATCATTATTGTCATTACTATTATTATCATTATCATCATTATTATTACTATTATTATTATTATTATTATTATTATTATTATCATTATCCTTGTTATTATTATTGTCATTACTATTATCAATATCTTCACTTTACTGTCTTTAATTAATATTATATCAAATTATATTTAAAAATATCATCAATATTATAATAACTCTGCCAATGAGGTTATATTTTTGGTAGTTAGTTTGTTTGTCTGTCTGTCCGTTGGTTGGAAGGATAACCCAAAAAGTTAGGAACAGATCATTTTCAATTTTTTTTCCAGAGTTGTGTCTTAGTCAAACTTAGATGCATTCAATTCTCCAGGATTTTTTCAAATGAGTTACCCCTAGCAATTGGTTGTAGGGGTAACTATTATTATTATCATGACCTTTATTATCCATAATGGCGGAGGTATGCGCTCTGTGGGTGGTTCTAGCTATTATTATCATTATCAATTCATTGTTATTGTTGTTGTTATTTATTATTTATTTTCATTATTATAAAATCATTATCGTTATTATCGTCATCATTATTTCTATTATTTTTATCATTATTATTATTATTATTATTATTATTATTATTATTATTATTATTATTATTATTATTGTTATTATTATTATTATTATTATTATCATCATTATTACCATCATCATCATTATCATTATTATTTTTATTATCATTATTAATGTTAACATTATTGTAATTATTATCATCATAGTATCATGATATCAATATTAGCATCATTGTTATTATCATTATTATTATTATTATTATTATTATTATTATTATTATTACTGTTATTATCATTATTAACATTATGTTTGTTATTCTTATCATTATCCTCATTATCATAATAACAATGATGAATAATATCATCATCATCATAATCATTATAATTTTTACAATTATCATTATATTCGTTGTTGTTACTGTTGCTATGGTTACTGTCATTTTTATTACTATTATCATTGTCCTCATCAATATTATTAATATTATCATTGTTGTTAAAGTTACTGTTATTAACATTATTTTAGTTATCATCCTTATCATTATTACTACTGGCATTATTATTGTTATTACTTTTGTTATTATTTTTGCTATTATTTTTAGAGCTTTTACTCATATTTTTTGTTATCATAAATATTAATAATACTATCATCATTATTGCCATTATCAATTGTTATTATAGTTATTATTATCACTGCTGGTATTATTATCTTTATCAGTATTTCTGTTATGATCATAATTATCATCATTATTTTTGCTATTATTACTAACATTGCTATTGTTATTACTATTATCGTTTTGATTTTATCATTACTTTTATTGTTATCATCATCATCATCATCATCATCATTTACATTGTTACTTTATTGTTATTTATATTACTATCATCATTATCATTATTGCTGTTATCGTTATTGTTATCGTTATTGTTACTATTACCATCATCAGCACTTCTATTCGTATCTTTACTCTTTTTCATTGATATAATAGTAATAATGATGATAAAAATAGTAATAATGATAATAATTATTGCTATTACCATTATTATCATTATCATCATTATTGACATTATTGTTATTACTACTACTATCATTATTGTCATAATCATTGTCAATATTATTATCATCATTATCATCATTATTATGGCAATTATCATCATCATTATTATTATTATTATTATTATTATTATTATTATTATTATTATTATTATTATTATTATTATTATTATTATTATTATTATTATTATATTATTATTATCATTATCATATTATTATTATTATTATTATTATTATTATTATTATTATTATTATTTTTATTATTATTATTATTATTATTATTATTATTATTATTATTATTATTATTATTATTATTATTATTATTATTATTATTATTATTATTATTATTATTATTATTATTATTATCATTATTATTATCATTATAATTATTATCATTATTATTACTATTGTCATTATTATTGTCATCATTACTAATATCATTGATATCATAATCACTATCATTATTTCTAGTATTAGTTTTAGTATCATTATTATATGTTATAATCATCATTACCATTATCGTCATTATCTTTGTTATAACTATTATCATTATTATTACTATTACTATTGTTATCATTATCATTATTAATATCATTACAATTATCATTGACATCATCATTATCATATTTTCTATTATTATAACCATTATTATTATTATTATTATCATTATTATTATTATCATTATTATTATTATTATTATTATTATTATTATTATTATTATTATTATTATTATTATTATCATTATTATCATTATCACTATTATCATTATTGTTATTGTTATCATATATTATCATTATTATTATTAGTAGTAGTAGGAGGAGGAGGAGGAGTATCATTAATATAATGATTATAATAATAACAGTAATTATAGTAATAATAATGATTATAATTATTATTATCATTATCATTTTTATTTTCGTTATTATCATTATTATCATCGATATTATCATTATTATCATCGTTATTATCATTATTGTTATCAGTATCATATAATTAATAACAATATCATTAGCATTATATTTTTATTACCATCACCTTTATTACTGGTATCAATGTTATTGTCATTGTCATTATTTCAATTAGTATCACTATTACTTTTGTTAGCGTTATCATAATTATCATCTCCCAGTTTTTCTGATTTCAGTCGTTTTTACCTGTCAAGATCGGAATACCTCAAAGTCTAGTCATTTTTGTTATGGTCGATGTCTTTCCCTTATCATTTCGTTAATTTATCGTTGTTGCAAAGGGAGTGAAATAAGCGAGGCCTTAGAATTAGAACGCAGTAAGAAACACGTATAATGCTGTGCGTGTAAATTACGTAAGGTTCGCAATGCTATGCTATCCGGTTTCGCAGAATATTTTGCGATAAAATTTTGTTCCACTCATTTGTAATGGAAAATACTATCATTTCCCAATCGTAGGTGAATTATCACAACATATTTTTGTCATTTCTTTCCCAAGATGTTATTTTTAGTAAATCGTCTCGTAATTACATTAATCCAAACAGGTTTGGTTTGGAAAGTCACAAGGACATTTTGTAATGTTTCATTTTATATTCATTGACTTATTTTATCTTATTTTGTTTGAAGAGATAATAGAAATGATCAAACTCCAATACCATTTGATTTGTGAATGTCAGGATTATATATGTCGTAAAATTTGGATAAGAATGGATTAAATACCTTATTTTAGATCGCTGAGTGAGGATTTGTATGTTTTCTAAGGGCTTTATACCCTCTAGAAAAGG